TAGACTGATATGGTGCCTTCACTACATGGAGTTCAGTTTGAATATTGGCTTTAAGCTAACCCTAGTTACCTTGTATGGTTCAACGTTATTATAATGGGAAACTAATGTTGAGAATATGCAATGTAAATAGTTGGAAGTCTAACTTGTTCACAAGTTCAAAGGTGAGAATATGCAATGTAAATAGTTGGAAGTCTAACTTGTTTGATCCATTTGTTGAGAGCGAGTGACCTAGACTGATATGGTGCCTTCACTACATGGAGTTCAGTTTGAATATTGGCTTTAAGCTAACCCTAGTTACCTTGTATGGTTCAACGTTATTATAATGGGAAACTAATGTTGAAAACCTTTACAGGGTTTCGTAACGCGAACAGCCAAATATCAGCCTCCCTCACTTCCAACGGAAAATACGCAGTCTCCGCGAGTGAGGACTCATATGTTTACGTGTGGAGACATGAAGCCGAGTCCCGACCAAACAGAACCAAAGGTGTGACGGTGACACAATCTTACGAGTTTTTTCACTGTCAAGATGTATCTGTGGCAATCCCTTGGCCTGGCTCGTCAGACAAGTGGGCCCTCCAGGAATGTCCTGCTGGAGGACGCAATGGTACTTATACCCAGTATAATGAATACCATCCCACTACACCAGCTGGGGAGACCAACTGCAGTGAAGGCCGGTCATTAGAGTCCCTACGCACTAATAGCCCTCTCAATGCACATTTATCTTGTGCCTCAAACGGCTACTTTTTCGATAAAATCTCCATGACATGGCCTGAGGAGAAACTCCTCTCGGCTACTGCCAAGAACGCAAGTCTTAGTGTGGACTTTTCAAATGGGTTGTATCAGAACAGGTCCGCGTGGGGTATGGTTATAGTAACTGCAGGCCTCAAAGGTGAAATCAAGATATTCCAGAATTTTGGGACACCCTTGCGGATTTGAAAAAGCTGTTTTAGAGCCGACTAGAGTCCTAAACCCAGGTTAGCAAAAATTTGTACAGATATTCAGAGGGCATGTAAAATTAGTGAGTTTTTTTTTTCGATCTTTTTTTCTTGTTTTCACTTTTGCATGTTGGATTTGGGACTCCAAGAGGGTGTTGTTGGTTAAGTTTGATCCTACTAGTGCTCACACTGGGTTTTTATCTGTTGAATCACACAGACTAACACACGTCCGTATAGCTATGTGTTGATCCAACGGTTAAAAAGCGAGTGTGGGTGCACGGGTAGGATGAATATATATTGTCTTGTTGATGCCATTGGTATAAAGATTAATTGGTGGTGAAGGGATGAAGCAGAAGATATATACACATTGAGTTGACATACTGTATTGTTTTCCTCACTTTTTCTGTACTGTTGTTATACATGAAAGTTTGAGTTGAGGCTAAGAGAGCTTTTCTAAGTTCATCACGAAAAACCTATGATGTTTAGAGCATGTTTGGATACAAATTCAATCCAAAAAAATCCAATCAATTTAAACTCAATCACTTTTTTTTTAACTCAACTATAATTCAACCCACTATCATCAATATAATTAAATAATATCAAAATCAACCACTATCATCAATATTATCAATATAATTAAATAATATCAATCAATCATTTTTACACACAACATTAACCTTAATTTACTATTTATTTACTCACATAATTTTAACTAACCATCACATCACATCTTCTCTCTCCTACTTTTACATCAATTTAATTTTAATCATTTTATTTTCAAAATTATTTTAATATACTCACTAACAATTAATCATACCAACTTTTATTTTGAATTTTATATCTAAACCTATATATATTTATTTATATTGTCGGGAAATTCTGCAGCCCGTTACGGAATCATTCCGTTGAGGTTCGTAACCGTTAGATCAATTATCCACGACGATTACATGATGATCTAACGGTTATAAATCCCAACGGAATAGTTCCGTACGAAACTGTCGCATTTCCCAATATTATCTATATATGTCTATATATGTCATGAGTAAATTCTAACTAACTTATAATCCACTTGTGCAAAAAGAATTAAAAATATAAGTGCAAATAAATATAAAATATAAGTGAAATTGATTACTATAGAATGAAAATGGTTCAATTAAAAAAAAAAATAAAAAAGATGAACGTAAACTCAATAAAAAATGATTTATTAGTCTTACAGTGTTTTGTCATATCCTACAGTATCTTAAATATTGCATGGGTGTTGTTATTTACCGCACCCAATTTTAATTAGTACGCACCCATTTATGACTATTTTACCTTTACTAACTTTAAATAATAAAAAAATCAATTTTAATTATTTTTTTTTAAAAAATAAAAAATTCAAAAACAACAAAAATTAACAATCTATCAAAATTCAAAAATCACTACATTGGCCAATCAAAAAAAAAACCAAACTTGAATAAAATAAATCAGAAAAATTCCAAAAAAATGGTTGGACAATTCTCACGCATCGGGAAAGGAGTCTCCAATTCACATGTATTTTTTTTTTTTTTTACAATTTTAACGATTAAAAAAAATAATAAAAAAAATTCTATGGCTGGCCGTCCGCCAATTGCGGTCGAGGTGGAGCGGGGCGGTCGGCCTTTGCTATGATATATGGTATGGCCGCATGGCGACCGCGGCCACGACCCTTGTGGCCGCTTTTTTCGCCTGCGGCCATCCAGTACCCGGCCGCTAAAGGCGGCCGGCATTTCATGTCGCGACCGCGCGCGGCCGCTTGCGGCCGCCCGATCCATTCAGGGCCGCGCGTGGCCGATTTTTTTTTTTTTTTTTAGTACTAAAATTTTTTAATTGTAATTAGTATAATTATTGTAAATTAAAATAATAATATATAAGATAATCTTTTATATATACTAATATAATTTTTTAAAAATAACTAATAATATATATTAAAAATTCTATTAGTAATTAATATTATGAATAAAAATTATTTATACTCATATAATAGGTACTATAATTATTAGTACAACTATTAAAATATTAAGTACTATATTAGTATATATTAGTATATAAAAGATAAATTAGTATTTAGTAGCTACTATAAATTAATATTATAAAATTACATTAAATGTTGTAGGAAAAAATTATATTAGTATAAATTATTAAGTTATATATATTAATTAATTATCTTATAAAATAAAATTTATTGATATTACGTTAGAAGTTAGAATTGATTATATAATAAATTACAAATTACTATTATTATTTTCAGATAAGTTATAATTCATTAGTTTGTAAAATTATTAACATACATCGTAACATATTGCAGGTGTCACTCGAAGATTTTGGAGGAGACGGTGAAGATTACCGATCTTGTTTCGCTACAGATGAGCTATTTGATAATCCCGACAAAGCTACTGAATGGGCAAAAGACATTGCAATAATATGGGGTTTCCAATTGGTCATCTCGAGACACAATAGGTGTGATCGAGGGGAACCTTACAGGGGCAAGGCAGAAAAACTAGGAAATTTAGTGAATGCTGTCTTGAGACGGTCGAAGACTAAATATACTGGCTGTCTTTTTCAGATAAATGTGAAATTTGAAGAGAAATCCAAAAAATAGTGTATCTGGCTTCCTTTAGAAGACGAGAAAGGATTTCATAATCATGCGTTGACTGTATATCCCGAGGATCATCGACATGTGAGCAGACTCAGTGATTCATCCAAAGAGATTGTCTGTGATATGAGTGATGCTCAGGCAAGACCAGCAGCAATTTTGGCTGCAATTCATGAGAAAAACCCTGTGGACAACGCTACTTGCCAACAAGTGTATAACTATAAAGCTCAATTGCGAAAAGACCGTATGGGGGTAGAGATGTTGCTGGCCAGCTTCTGCATTTGGCTACCGGGAGCAACTACATAGTTTACACAGACGTTGACCCGGACACACAGGCGTTGAGACGTGTGTTCATGTCGCATCCACGAGCAGCCAGTCTATTCCGGACATATTACTGGTATGTCTGCATAGATTCCACGTACAAAACCAACAGGTATGTTACATTACTTTATAAATCTATATAAATATAAAAAGGTTTAGTATTTACCTGAAATAGTAATAGAAATCCCGCCAAAAATTTCGTTCTTACTTTTTATTATTAATTTTTTTAAAAAAATTGCAAAACGGGCGGAATTATTGAAAATTTGAATAAATCGGTCAAAATAAAATTTGAAATTGCATGTCACAGATTTTCTTATAATCTTGGATTGGTTGTAAGTAAGGAAATTTGAATAAAAAACAAAAAAAAAAAGAAATGAAATTGACAACAATTGCGACTTCAGTTGTCCGAAATTCTTACAATGTTTGATTTGTGCGGCAATAAGTTTTTTTTTTTTATTCTTAAAAAAAACTTCGGTTGATGTTGTTACAAAACAAAAAGAAAATAAATATAATAAGATTCTATTAAAAAATTAATAAAATCTGTAAAAACATAAATCGATCAAATATTATCACTAGATGAAAAAACTTAATCACAATTTATTACAGGAGAATTTAATTAAATATTGTTTTTGAGACAAACATTCGAAATTGTTTACGATTTTTATTCACATTTTGATTAAAATAGTGTTAATGAGTATTTTGTTATGTTAATGAGACAAACATTCCAATTCTTCAATTTTTACGAAAGATTTAAAAGTTAGATTATACAAACATTTACTGGTTATTTACATCTATATAAAAAAAAACGTGTGCATTGAAAGTTACACATATATAACAATATAATTTGACAAATAGTATGTTTGAGTAAGTTTTTTTTAATTCTATGTTTTTTTCTCTTGCTGCTTTCATTTGCACAGGAACCACATGTCGTTGGTTGAGATGATTGGAACGATGCCGTGCAACAAGAACTTCTTAACTGCTTATGCAATTGTGAAGGACGAGACCGAGTACAGCTATGACTGGTTCCTACAGCGGTTGAGACTGATGATAGGGCCTGATAAACAGCCTTCAGTCATTGTCAGTGATCGGGGGTTAGGGGTTGATTACTCCTATTCAGAGGAATTTTCCAACGACGCCTCACTTAATCTATACGTGGCACATCAACAAGGATGTGGAAGACAGGGCCTATCGGCTGACGTCCAAAAATAAGATCTTCGCGCAGAAGTTCACGCACGGCAAGTGGAAGAAGGTTGTCGAGGCGAACACGTGGGACAAATACAAAATTGTCGTACAAGATATGGTT